GCTAAACTCTGCCATTGAAAACATAAGTATATCAAGAAGCAACTGATTATTGTTTGCCTAAAGCATTACGTAGTCTCTATGATGGTTCTTTTATTTGTTTGTTTATTTATTTATTTATTTATTTATTTATTTGAGACAAGCTCACTCTGCCACCCAGACTGGAGTTCAGTAGTGTGATCTTGGCTCACTGCAGCCTCCAGCTCCTGAATTCAAGCAATTCTCCTGCCTCAGTCTCCAAAGGAGCTGGGATTACAGGCATGTGCCACCACGCCCAGATAATTTTTGAATTTCTTCTTACTAGGTTGACCCATTTGGTGCTGTCTTTGGCTACCCAGATATCTTTTCATAAGAATGTCTAAATTTTGACTTGTTATAAGAAGACTGTCTGGAATTAACCTATTTTGCCAGCCTTTTTCACAAGAATTTCAACTAAAAGTAGCACCAGAATAATTTATAAAAATGTATACAATTAATGCTCATCTTTTTAAAGTTAGTTTATATTCTCAATGCTACTGGTGAAAACTTGTCACCAACTCTTTGAAGAATCAAATTCCAAATTCTGAAAGGTGACACTAACTGCAATTAACTTTAATCTTGAAAAGCGTGAAACACTCAGGACATAATTGAGATCAACATCCCAGGAGTAAACTAATGGAAGACGTGACTTACATAAGAAAAACAGGGTTATTTCTTTATTCTTACACATGATTTTCCTTTGCCTACTTGGAATCAAGCTTATGTATTGATTCCTAGTAGGCAAAGGATGTACCAAAATACAGATGTACCAAAAGTCAGTAATTAATATGTAACAGATGTAATAATGACAAATAACTCTCAACTAATGTCATATTCTTACCCTTGGTGGTACCACAGGAATCCTGTATGGGTTCATATTATGCTATAAGACCTCAGATTTGGGTAACTGGCTCTAAAGATACTTGTTACTCTCAGGCTTTATAAATATTTATTTCTGTTTTCTTAAAAAGCTAAACACATAAGGAAATTGTAGAAGAGGTGGCATGTAATACAGGATTTCTGGTCTGTTATCAGTAAATGTTCTAAGACACGCCTTTGTCAAAGACAAAGACAGCAAAGGAAATATTTATCAGACAAGGATGCTTAGAGACAGTTCTACAAGCAAGGATGGATTCAAGTTTTTTACTCTGTATTTAACAAAAACGCTTTTCGAAAGTATTGTAAAGTGCCCAGGAGTAGGGACTAGGGCTTCATGCAGATAAGAGAAGTAAATATTTAAAAAGGAAATATAAGAAAGCAGTTCTGTTGAATACTTACTCTTAACTTTGGAAGCAAGAAACTTTCTAAGGATGGAAGAAGGTTTAGGTGGCCTGGGATCTTACAGGTACTTGAAAGTGAAAAGGTACATATGGAGAACTTAGCTCAATTTGATTCAATAGGTACATCACTCTGGCCACATGACTATGTAGCTTGTGTCATCTCACCATCTTCCAGGCACTTCCCAACACACCCAGATTTAAAACTTAATAATGGAAAAGCTATGCTCAGTGAGATTCCCAAAACACTCTTTCCATTCCTGTGCAATATCTTGCTTTCTCTTCCTCTGTCCCCCAAATACTGTTCAAGCACTGTTTCCCCTCCTGTACTTCCCTCTTCCTCTTCCCTCTCCCTCTTCTTCATTTCACTGTCTGCTTTTTTTTCTTTTCCTCTCCCTCTCCCCACTGGCCTCCTGTCTCTTGCTCTCTTCTCCCTTTTTCCTCACTCAACTTCTGATCAATCCTGCTGGGTATATTCTGTGTCCTATACCCCTGCTGTGATTCTTAATGAAATAGATTTCAGGAAGCCCACCGATTGGATCCATGACAAGTGTATAATTTATAGGAACAGCTGGGCCCTCCTTGGCACAGGACAATTCTAATTTTTTCTCTGTATATTCTCTTTCCAGTTCTGCTCTATCTTAGCCTTCTCCTTCTCCTACTTTATTGGAGGATATCAGCTGGGAATTCCTTAGACTTCTCCTATTTCTTTCTCCTATTTTCTTCTTGGGGAAGGAAAGGATCTTCTCCCTTTCCTAAAGTGCATCTCAGAAGTTCAATTTAGAGAGATATCCTAAATGATCCTTTATCTCATAAATCAGGGTCTCATTGTCTCTCTTCTGTAAATTGTAACAGCTGTCTTGCCCATCAGCTCCCCACCTCCTTTATATTGCTACCAGAATTCCGTTTAGCATTTGTGGCATAGTATTTATTCAGTCAAATCTGATGTTTTTTCGGTCTCCACTAAGATGGGAGATCTCATATTTTATGTTTATGAGAAGCTTTTTTCCTTTTTCGGCCTGTGGCCCTTAATTGGATTTTTTTCAATGATTTTCCCATTCTTAATGATTGTTGGATTTTCTGTGGCTTAAAGAAAAAGAAAAAAGATTTTCTAAACATGGTGATAAAAATCTTTGTAAACATAATAAAGGCAACCTTTTTGTTTATGCGTCTAAGACTGCACAGATCTGTTGTCCCAATGATTGTCTCTCTCAGATTATATGTAAATTGTTGGCTATTTTTTAAAAGCCTATGTAGAGAAAGAATATTTGAGAAGCTTCTGAAATATTCTTCGACTATCAATAACTTCAATATCTGGCTTAGAATTTTCTCTCCTGAGGGAAGGCTTCTGGGAGTAACCCTTTCTAAACTCAATCTGTACTGGCCACTAAAGGTTAATGTTTCCATCAGTGCTCTGTATTTGTTTTTTTTTTTTGTTGTTGTTGTTTTTTTTTTTTCATCATAGGATAGTGGCTAAATGCATAGACTTTAGTGACAGATGGCCTACGTTTAAATCTCAGTGTCTACTGTGTGACTATAGGTGAATTACTTAACCTTCCTGTACCTTAGTTTCATCACTTACAAAATGGGAATACAATGGTCAAATATCATCGTCCATATTTTTAAGGATGAAAAGAGAGTATACTTTTTACATGTACACAGTGCTGAGTATACAGGAAAGGCGGATTATTGCTGCTATTGTTATAACTTATTATTATCGTTAGCTATATGTTATTTGCATTTCCAACTAAATTGTAAATGTCTTGAAGTCAGGTGCTTACACTGTTACTCAAATATTAAGGGCATAAAAAGGGCAGTGTTTTTGTTTATGAGTCTAAGACTGCCATTAACATTAATGGCAAAAACTCCAATAATTTTTACACTAACCTGATATAAAAATTAACATGCAATGTTTGAGGCATGTCACTCAAATATGTAAGAATTTTTTCCATATCTTTAAGGCATGTATAATTGGTATTCAAATGTGAATAAATAATGACTGAGTCTTAGATGATTTTTTTCCTAGCTTAAATCTAGTTCAATGTTTTACAAATAGAAAGTTATCAGTAATTACTAAATATATGTAACTTATTCCCACAATGCAAAATTTTGATTTAAAACATATTATAACTATGTAGTTAAATATGCTGAAAGTAAAAGCAATGATTACAAAATTTATTTTTTAACATTTTTTTTAGAAGTCTGTGGTGCACTTAAAACAACTATCCTCCAACTCCTAGTAAAGTATCAGTTTTCTGAAAGTACTTGATGGTATCTGAACTAAGTGTACATTTTAAAACACATTATAAGTAATGCATTTGCAAGGGACTTCTGAGTAAGTTACATATTGCCTAGGTTGCAAATAAAAAATGCGAAGGAGTGAAGACTTAAGACCTATTGAGTACCTCTGGAACTCTTAAATGGTATTCTTTGCTTTCTTTTCTCTGTTAATAGACTATCATTCCAGCTAGTACCATACTACTCAAACAATACACAAAAGTTTTATGTTAAGGCTCAGAATTTTGGAACCATAAAATTAGGAGGCTGGAAGGAAACATAAAAAATAAGACTTTTCAAGGCAGCCTCCTTTACGCTCTTTACTTGAATTATTTACTCTAGTTTTATCATTAAGCTTTATGCTGTTCAATTGACTACAATTCAAAACACCAGTGTATTCATGCCATGTGCTAAGATATGCTCCTTCCTATATGTGTTCCTTTAAAGAACCATCTGAATCTTGCCAGGGGTGTGGCGGGGAAGTGTATTTTCCTTCGTGGTATCAAAGCCAGGAGCTCATGGTTTTCCTTTATTTTTTAAGGGCACACTATCATGTAACATCAAGAAAAAAATCTTGATAGTATATCTTTTATAGATATTTTCTTTTTGGATTTTCTTTCCTCTAAGAGAAAAGCTTTTGTTAATGTGTCAGGTAACTAGTAACTTGTCAAGAAGTGCTAGATTCCATTCCTGTGTGGTTCCATTTATATTCCTCAACAGCTAATATTTCATTTAGTTTACAATTAAACTTGTTCAAATACATTTTTGAAGTGCATTGCTTAAAATTTACATTCAAGGCAAGAAAATGAGTTTGTCAATAAATGTAGTAATTAAGGAAGTCCCCAGTCTGTATTTTTAAGATACTAGAGGTAATTGTAACTAATCACTTTAACTTAAAGAAATAGAATTGGAAATCCCACCACCCCCACAACACCAAAATCATACCTTAGTCACTTTGGAATTATAACCATCTTTTACGTCTATCAACATAAATGTATTACATTTATTATTCAAATTACTTTCAAAAGGACGAATTTTGAATTTTTTTTTCACTGTAGCTTCTGATCTTTAAATGTACTGAACAGGAGGATTTGGGGAGCTTATCTAGTAGGTGTTATCTATGATGACTAACTGTGTGTGCAACATGGACTAGTAATTTTACAAGGCCATTTTGCAAATTCTCACGTTGATGTTACTAATGATGTGAGTTTATTAGCATTTGGGTAATAAGAAAAAACAGCACTAGAATTAAAAAGAAAAAGAAAAAACAGATAAGGGCGAAACAGACTCCTCCACCCTTCTCCCAACCCTCACTCCTTTGAAGGCTCGCGCCCTATTCGAATAGCAGGTTCCTGCATGTGCCAAAAATCTGGTCCTGGCGAAGCGGGGCGCTCTGCAATGCCAGGGCGTTCCCAGCTGGGGACTGTTGCCTACTTGGAGCTTGAAAACACCTGGCGTGGTTCTCGGGGTCCCTAGAACCGTCAGCCACGGACTGGTCGGCTCTGGGGTTGTGGGCAGAAGGCTCTGAGCGGTCGGAAGGGTTTCCTGTGTGTCAGCAACTTCACTTTGCCGAGAGAGCTGGCGGAAGAGGGAAGGAGCGCTCGCAGGCCAATCGCCTGCGAGCAGCCACCTTTGACTGAGCGCACCCCTCACCCTCGCCACTGACTCCGGTAGCAGCGTGCTGGTAGAGGCTGAACTCACTCGGCCTCGGCGGAGACCTGCTCCCCAGAAGACGCCTTCGCTTCCCGGTGCGCCCTGGGGGACGCGGACTGGCTGCTGGGGGAACTGGCGGAGGCACGCCCCTCGCCTCCCCGCGGAGCGCGGACTCGCCCCGGTGCCCAAACTCCGCCCATCCTCACGAGAGCTTAGCTCTCCCGCCTAACCCCCCGCACTCCGGACGTAGCAGAGCCTGGGGAAAGGCTCCCTGAACTGCGGGGACGCCGAATGGGACGCGCTCCAGAAGCGCACGAGTCTGCTGCCACGCGCGCTGCGATGGCTACCAGGGGCTGAGCCCGGGGTGGGCAGAGGAAGCGGTTAGACACCCCGAAGCTGAGCTGCCCCTTTCTAAGGTAGGGAGGAGAAAGATGCCATAATGAAGTTGATCTTTGAGCCGAGGAGGCTGGGGAGCACTCTCCCCAGGCTAGAGCCCTGCAGAGCGAGTTTCGCCTGACCTCGCCGCGCCTCTGGCGCGCTCTCCAGCGCGGACCCGCGGCCCCTCGGGAAAGCGCAGTCGGAAAGTTATCCGCGGCGGTGTCCTGCGCGCCCTGTTGTGTAACCTCGGCGTTGCCAGCGGACGGGGAAGTTGCTGGCCTGCCCGACAGCCAGTTCGGTGGCGGCCCGGGGCGGATTTCATGGCCCGCGGCGAACGCGGGGCTGGAGCCGGCGTGGGCAAGCCCCCGCGCGTCCCCTCCCGCGGGGATCCCGCGAGCCCGCTCCCTTCCGCTTGCTGGGTTTTCCAATGCTTGCTGCGTCCCTGGCCGCTGCTGCCCTCTCGCCGCCGCTTGCCCCTCGGAGCCGCCGCCTAAGTCGAGGAGGACAGAATGACCGAGGTGCTGTGGCCGGCTGTCCCCAATGGGACGGACGCTGCCTTCCTAGCCGGTCCGGGTTCGTCCTGGGGGAACAGCACGGTCCCCTCCACCGCTGCCGTCTCAGCGCCTTTCAAATGCGCCCTGACCAAGACAGGCTTCCAGTTTTACTACCTGCCTACCGTCTACATCTTGGTGTTCATCATCGGCTTCCTGGGCAACAGCGTGGCCATCTGGATGTTCGTCTTCCACATGAAGCCCTGGAGCGGCATCTCCGTGTACATGTTCAACTTGGCTCTGGCCGACTTCTTGTACGTGCTGACTCTGCCAGCCCTGATCTTCTACTACTTCAATAAAACAGACTGGATCTTCGGGGATGTCATGTGTAAACTGCAGAGGTTCATCTTCCATGTGAACCTCTATGGCAGCATCTTGTTTCTGACGTGCATCAGTGCCCACCGGTACAGCGGTGTGGTGTACCCCCTCAAGTCCCTGGGCCGGCTCAAAAAGAAGAACGCGGTCTATATCAGCGTGCTGGTGTGGCTCATCGTGGTGGTGGCGATCTCTCCCATCCTCTTTTACTCGGGTACCGGGGTCCGCAAAAACAAAACCATCACCTGTTATGACACCACCTCAGACGAGTACCTGCGAAGTTATTTCATCTACAGCATGTGCACGACCGTGGCCATGTTCTGTGTCCCCTTGGTGCTGATTCTGGGCTGTTACGGATTAATTGTGAGAGCTTTGATTTACAAAGATCTGGACAACTCTCCTCTGAGGAGGAAATCGATTTACCTGGTGATCATTGTACTGACTGTTTTTGCTGTGTCTTACATCCCTTTCCATGTGATGAAAACGATGAACTTGAGGGCCCGGCTTGATTTTCAGACCCCAGCAATGTGTGCTTTCAATGACAGGGTTTATGCCACGTATCAGGTGACAAGAGGTCTAGCAAGTCTCAACAGTTGTGTGGACCCCATTCTCTACTTCTTGGCGGGAGATACTTTCAGAAGGAGACTCTCCCGAGCCACAAGGAAAGCTTCCAGAAGAAGTGAGGCAAATTTGCAATCCAAGAGTGAAGACATGACCCTCAATATTTTATCAGAGTTCAAGCAGAATGGAGATACAAGTTTGTGAAGGCACAAGAATCTCCAGACACCTCACTGTTGTAATATGGTAGGATGCTTAAAGAACCAAGTGCTTCTCCCACCTTTAACTTTCTAGTAAGTTCAGGGGAAAAAAACAAACCAAGAAAATAGTGAGTTAAAAAAAATATAGAAGTGCTCACATCCACACTCAGCTTGTTTGGGTTTGCTTTCAAAGTCTCCCTTCTTTCTGACTAGAAGTATGCATAATAAAACAACACTACCCAGTTAAACATTTACTTTCTCTTTTGCATTTAAAACTTACAAGCTTTTCTGTTTAAAGTGTGTGTGCACATGAGTATGAGGGCTATCTTGATGTTAGTATTTTCCCTAAGAAAACGAACCCCTTGCAACTTTGAGTTTGTGGTTTATCTAGCTTTTATTGTTTTTAAAAATTCACAGTAGGAATAAAATGAAAATCTACATTCTCAAAAATATTTAGCATAGTATAACAAAACACTAAACTCAGTTCATCCAGTATCAGATCAATGGATCTCTGAGCAGGGTCTCTTTTTCAGTATCTTAAAAGCATAGATGATAGTTGACTGAGTTTTTTTAGGGAATTGAATAGAAAAGTAAATTTAATGAATTTAAAAACCTGAAAAATGATTTTTTCCAGGTTTTCCAGCTATTTCTGAAAAAGTTCTCATTATATATTGGGTGCTAAGTGTTTGATGGGGAAAGCCTGCATATATTATTGTACTGGTAAAATGCATTCAAAATAATTAAAGTGCGTGTATTTTCCTTGTAAACACCATGAACTCTCTTAGGCATCTTGTGATAAAGAGCATTTACTTGCAGCACTGCTGTGCAATGCCTGAGGACTTTGTTTGTGTTCCAGGACAAGCGTTCACTCACATCTGTAAAAACAAATTTTAAGAATTGCAAATAAATTACGGACAAAAGTTTGAGTAAAGTCAAATAACTGTTAGTAAGCTGAAGGATATTGGGCAGGAGGACAGTTTTTCAGAAAAGGAGTGGTTGACAGTCATCCACAATACATAGCCTCCAAATATACTCTCAAATGTATGAAGCAACTGGGTTGGGCAGAAGACATTTTAAAATGAGGACTTTAGTTTAAATTAAAATCATGGTGGAAATGGCTCTTTTTGCTTCCTCTAAGTGTTTGAAAACACAAAATTCCATATGAAAATAAGAAATAGGCAGAATTTGTATAGGTTGCATTGACAGAATGGGAAGCTGTAATCTTTTGATAAACCTTACATCTTAATATTTAAAGAAAAAACATATATATGGAGAGGAAAATATAGAGAATTATATTTAAGTACCTAGATACCATAGCACTGAATAGTCAAGTACTAATCAAACTACAAATAGACTATTGGTCAGTGCTTTTATTACATTTGTTCTCTGCCAGGTGTTAATGAAAAATTGGTAAAATGCTTCAACAGTGTTAATATCTTTTAATGAATATTGTGTTGCTGCATGTCTAGCCCTTGAAATGGTCAGATTCTATATAATGAGAATAATAAGGTGAGATAATGCAATTGACAATCCCAGTGTCAAAGCGATTTTTAGTTTTGAAAGCTAGCCTACATAAAGTCAACATCAGAGTTTGCAGCTGATGGTGGAATAACTTGTTTGAAAGCACTTTACAAGTAGAGCAACATGGGGCTGTACGTTAAGGCAAGAAAGAACCTTAGTGCCCTGTGAAACATAATGACAGGAAATTCAGGTCTTGATTTCAAATGCGTATGTAGGTTGAGGATTTGTGAGACCTTCATAGTAGCTTCACTTTACCCAATTTCTGGCCACTAAGATCAATGAAGGAAAGCTATATTTAGCCTCCCTAAACAGTGATTATTTTTACATATTCAGTTTTAATGCATAGGATTATAGAAACTAAATCAAGAAGAAACCTACTGCACCTTCTCATTTTGAGGAGAGAGAGAGTTAGCAAAGTTCTCAGTTCATCAGGCTCATATAACATCTGTTTCAGAATCCTACAAGATAAAATCTAAAATATGTCTTTATTGTATTGACCTTGTTAAAGAAGATCAATATCATTAAACTGACCAAGATGGAAATTACAGGACCTGTAGCAGACTTGAACTTGTAGCCTAATGGTACACATTTCTATAATATTTCTTCACCATTTACTTTAGTTTTATTTCTTTTAGGTCTCAGGATGCTGGCTTAATTTAGAGTATGTGTTAAGTACATTGTTTCAGAGTCCAGAGACCTTTGTGAATGTGGATCCAGTGAGGAGGTGAACAGTGACTAGAAATGCTTATTTACTATTTGGCGTGTTTTTTTTCGAAGTGTTTCTTCTTTAGCTTCATACTTCACATATGGACATTGGTGACACGTGAATGCATGCCACATAGTAACAAGAATGATCTTGCCAACTCCTTCCAGGACAAAAGAAGCCTCTGGGAAGATGTGTGAAAATGGTGAAAACATACAGAGGGTCAGGATGAAGCAGTGATCTCTACTGGCTGAAAAACTGATTCAGGTTGCATGATGACTGAAGTATTTCAATAGTAAAGGCAGAAATGTGTTGGCTTTTGGATAAAAAAAAACAGCTAAAATTATAGAACTTATCACCTAACAAAATTTCACACCACAAAAATATTTTAATGGCAAATTCAAGGTGTTTTACTGCTTACAAATTGGCTTCTTTGACTCTTTGAACATCAATTTGTGTTTACATTGAAATGACAAAAAGACAAACTAAGAAGAAATATAGCATGCAAGTCAGGATTCAGAATTAAAACCATGATGTTGCCACTCAGCCAGCTGTGTGACTGTTGACCCTTTCAAGACCGCTCATGGATTAAAAAGGTTGGATGACATCCATTTGTTGAGGCCTTGGGGGATATGGTAAAGCATGAAAACTAGACAGCCAGGAGTGTGTGAAATCTGCTACTGTATTTTCCAGGACTTCATTCCACTCCTTGGCTAAAAAATTCTTGTAAATTTCACAGATTATGAGGTGGGCCTGTCACTTGTAAATTGTCTCAATCTACTCAGACAAGACGCTAAACTGTCTTTGGATACTATAAGTGTCAGTGCTTATAGCAGCTGGAATTTGGCTAATGACAATGTTTAAAGCTGTAATACTAGTTGGTATCTATTGCAGCTTAAACTTTGCTGGTCAAATTGTAGCTCTGGTAATAGTATTTATTGAAGAAACTCACAGTCCTTCAGTTGTACAGATTGAAAAACTTTCATGAAAGATCCAACATACTAATAATGTAAATTATATTTATTACAATGTATAATATTGATGTGTGAAACTGTTGTATTTTACAAAATATATGATGCATACCTAAATGAGAGTTGTATATTACAGTGCTTTTCAGATATCAGTATCTTGGAATATTTAAGTCTTCACACTTTTTGGTCTAAAATGTGAAAATGTTTCATGATCAAGTGATTAATTTTCCCTAGAAGTGCTTTTGCATGTTTGCCTTTTTATTTAAGTTTTTTCTATATAGACATAATTTGGTGTCAGACTATTGTAAGATCAATAGTGCATATAAAATATCTTAGCCAAATGGGGTCCGTATTGTCTACATTTTATATATTAAATAAAAGTTTTTCTTGTCTTTTCAGGAAGTTTAGAGTAGTGTCCCTAAATATGGTCAGAGCTTCCCTTTACAAATACAAAAGTCTTATTTTACATTTAAAATTATCTATCATGTTTTAGCAGTTGAGTGGGATGGGCATTATATATACAACATTAGAATGTAAGGAAAAACTTTAAGGAGATGGGGAGAGAAAAAGGCAGCTGGTACAATCAGTTACTGCTGCTTAGTTCTACCTAATTTTCTGTGTTGCTTCTTAAGGTGAGATAACATAACCTTAACTCTTTTGAGATGGAATTTTTAAGTAACACACTACCAGCAAGTTCAACACTGCTATTGATTTTACTTAAATTCCAAGTTTTATAGTGATAATTGTATATTATTTGGCTGCTGAATTTTGTTACAGTTTTTTATTCTGTTATACATGGTATTAAACACATTGTCACAAATTAATATGAAGGTGAATATGTTACATATCAAAATTTGTGAATTTGAATTATAGTATGTTTTAGTGCTTTTGCAAAAAATGTTTATTTTTATATTATCTGTGATTTAATGTAGATGATTGAACTAGATTTCGAGTGATTGGCGCCGATGAATGAGTGGTATGGAAACAGTGTTACTTGATATTTTGAGCTTTCTCAGGTTTATCTGAATCAGTGGTAGCTTAACAAAATCCAGACTAATTGTGGGTAATTGTATTTTTAATAAAAGGAAAGTATATTTCCTATAATAGCATAGTATTGTTTGCATGTAGGAGTATGCAAAATCTTGTGTGTCTGCATGTGTGTGTGTGTGTGTGTGTGTGTATCTTAGTGTGTGTAAGGCATGGCAGCCAACTTTGTATCTGCTATTTTTAGTACCAGTAGAGCTTCATAATTGTGGTCACTAGAACTGTACTTACCATGGACAATTAAAACTGAAAAAGACTCAATAAAACTATGAAACATGATATTATGGCTTCTGTGTTATTACAGTGTTAATACTCACAAATTTTGCCAAACTTTAACAAATAATATACAGACTGGGAAGTACTGTAAAACACACTGAACTAACTCAGTTTTTGTTTTTTTTTTTT